ACTAACATCAAGTTAAGAATCTCGCTAGAAGCCTTCCTGCTCCAAAGCATGGCTAATGCTGCGAATAGGGATCGTTGGCTAGAATGGTAAAAAGCGGCTCAGACGATAGGAATTGCGTCTACGGTCGAAATAATTCGAATAGGTGAATGAGAATTACCGACCGTTTCGTTGGTACTGTCAAAAATGATGAACGTGAAACCGCAGTTGGACAGGACCAAGTTTGCCAAGCATAATCTTCATTGATGCATCGTCTGAGACTAATGAGTACAATGGGAGAATAGGTGAGTTTAATCGATTGGCTAAAGAGGCTTTGAACCTCACACCAAACCCTCTTTGCATATATCACGTAAATTTTTCTAAAATTTATTCCATAAGTCACTTGTGAAGGTTATTTCATATGCTTATTTTTGTGCATGGATAGAAAACATAAAATTTAAAAAGCTTTGCTGCTTGCGTGGTGCCGCAATATCAGATAATTGTAAAACGGTTAGATGCCTGAAACAGAATCTAAAACAAACAGCAGCTAAAGCTTACCGGAAAACAAGGAAAAGCGAATGTATGCTTCAGAACATCTGCACCTCACATCATGGAATAAATTTCTGATCATTCATATCTGAGGCAAGTCGAACTTGCGGCTAGCGTTGAAGACGACCAGCTCTGAGCTTTGTCCAACAAACTCAAACATGAAGTTATAGGCGGAAGTCGATGACAGCTATGTAGTAAGCAGTCGCTGAAGAGTGCGACGGCGATTTGCAAACATAACGCCTGACATGACGAGGAGGAATGCTGAGTTCGCTGATAATTTTGCCTCAGCCGCGTCCTACGTTGCGAGGCTTAATTGAAAGAACACAACCTCCAACTAGGAACCTCGAAAAGGCAAAATCTGCCGAAGCGAACAACGGTGTGCACATGGCACTGGTGAACAGCGAACAGATGGGAAAACGTAGCTACAACTCTTTCGAATTAGAAGTTTTAATCCATCGAATGAAACACGAAATGCCCCGGGGCAACACTAACCAACACAAAGCAGTTGCTCCAACGACGCCACCGAAGACCTGGCAAATGAGTCAACACCTCCACTTACCAAATTTTGCGTGATTTGCCCCCCGACTGTTTCACGCGAGCGATCGTCGTTACATTTGGTCAGCAACTGCTTCTTTACTTTCCTCATAACCAACAGAGCCATTCTATGGCTCAGGCTATGCACGGATGAAATTTGTCGACGTACTAGGAGAGAGGTGCTAGACACTAAGTTTGAGTTAATCCAGAAATAACGAATGTTTCCGCCGTCCATAAAGTTTTAAATTAGCCGTAAGCAAATCAGCCGCAGTGTTGATCACAGCGGAGAGTTGATCGCTGCACAATGAGGCAATCCTGTGAGGCAATGTGTTTTTCATTCACACGTTGTGC